CTATTTCTGCTTCCCCTTATCTTATCTATGGTGTGCCAACCTTTCTGGGTGAATTCTTTATCTTATGTGTGCCAGCTTTGCTGGGTGGATTGCTTATGTAATCAAAAAGTGTAAATATAAGGATTTCTTGTCATTCAGGGCTTCCTCTCTTCTCTCTTTGTTCAGTTGAATAAAAAATGTTAAATTTGAAGGCAACTTCTGGTTTCTTGCATTTTTACCAAGCAACACCTCAGATACTGCACAACACATCTTTCTAGAGACAAAAAAAAAATATCTGTCACCTGGATGCTCCATCTCCATTTCTATTGATAGGTGATTGTAGCAGCAGTTTGATACCTTCTCTTTCCCTTTCTCACTTTTAACTTTTTTTAAAAAAATTGCAAAGCAAGATGGCATGTTCACTTATTGTCTCTTTGTTAGATGTATACTCAGCCTTTCCTCCAGACAACAGTACTCCCTCCTCCAATTTTTCCTCATCCCCACCAGATTGGCTTGCAAGTTAATCCATTTAATGAACTTCCATGACTCAGGATTCATTTGAATCTAAGTTCCCCCAGGTCTAATTCAATGTTTTCCTAATTACTTCGGATCCAGAATAAGAGTCCTCAGTTTTATTTCAGCACTGGATGCAGCATGTGATTTGTGAAATGTTGCAGAGATCTCAAGAAACAAATCAATTAGTTCAAGAATTAAATGCTCAAAATCAACCAAGAAGTCATATGAATAGAGATCTTAAGAGTGTAATTATATCACATGATTTCTTTATTATTATTTCCTGCTGGAATTTAAGATGCCAGCGGTCACTTTCAAAGCCTTATATGGCTAGACATCAATGGGACCATCTTCTCTAAGCAATCTCTGCCCATCCAGTAAAATCTGTAAGGGAGGGCGTCCTTGGAATGTCTTTGAATACATGTTGTTGGGGCAATGAGGGCGAGTCTTTTCTATTATTGATTTGCCTTTGGAAAACTGGCTCACCTGAGATAAGGTTGGCATTTAGAAAAACTGCCAAGACCTGGCTATTTCAGCTCATCCTTGAGAGAATGGTGCCTGCAGTAAAGAAATATTTTTACTGAGTGATATTTCTCAGTGGGGTGGAAATGGTGCTAATTCGCCACTTGCTTTGCATTGTTTTTATTGTTTATTGGTTTAATCTTTGTTTATTGTATTTGAGGTCTGCTCCTAAGAGTTGTCAGCAGATAAAGCAGCCTAATAGCCTCAATGTACGGATGAATAGACAGGGGTCAAAGGCTCTGTGCATGGTTGCTGGGAAGCCAAGGAACCCATGGATATTGTCTTGCTGGTATCTTGGTCCATGGAGATATGCTGGACCAATAAAGATGGCAATATATCTAGAGCTTTATTATGCAGTACAGATGTTGAGAAAAGGGGTGAAAATGTATTAATCTTTGTCATGCTTTCATTTGGGATATAATTGGACTCTAGAGACCTCGGTAAGTCCAACAAAATAGACAAACAAGGAAGCTGACTCCACAGGATGACTAGCAGCATACTTTATTGAGACAGGCTATCATAACAGAACCTTCCAAATCTGTGTTTTCACTTCCCTTCCTCTTATACTGCAGGAATCAGAGGATATCAGACTGAGATTCTTTCTAATAATTTCTTATCATCCTGGACTTGATGCATGCTTTTTCTGCAGCAGTTGTTGTCCTTAATGTTTCTGGGTGGCTACACCAAGGTCATTTCTATGGCTCCTTACTCAGACCAATGCTTTTTTGTGACGCCACTGGAAATAGATAAAGGCAGTTGCAGGCCCAGGTTTTCTTATGTTGCTTTAGGTCAGGGGTAGGCAACCTTGGCTCTTTTATGACTCGTGGACTTCAGCTCCCAGAATTCCTGAGCCAGCATTACCCATGCTTTAGGTCTTTAATATAAACCAATGTATTCTATACATGGGCAACAATATAAAGACCCTAAGAATGAAATCTCCTGGTATGAGTCTCACTGGTTAAGACAGGAATGTTATTTAGCTGCTCCAGTAAATGAGAACCAGTTAAACGTTTGCATATATTTGAGCAGATGAACCAAAATGTCATCTTTTTCCTGCTTTTCAGGCAGAGTGGGAAAAGTGTGACACACAGATGCAGCTGCTCTAATGGCATTGAAAATACTCAAGTCTTAAACACCCAAGGAAATTCATTTCTATTTATTCCTTTTTCATTCAATTGATGTGAATAATTATATTTTATGATAATATATTGATATAATATATAAAGTCAAGCAATTTTTTATGTGTACATATTCCTGTTCAGTTCAGTAAGACTCTTGGCCACAAAATTGTATTGCATCATCCACTCACTTTTAAGCAGAAGTGAGTTTATGATTGTGGTTGATGCCTCTTAACCAGGAAAGTCTTTTTTTAATCGATTACATGCCTTCAAGTCAGTGTCGACTCTTAGAAACCACATATAGATGTTTTTTATTGATCTGTCCCTAACCTGGTCCTTCAACTCTTCCAATGTTGCCCCTGTTGACTCTGTAACTGATTTGAATTGTCTGTGTAATTGTCTGCATTATTCTTATTAAGCAATTTAAACAAGAAAAATAATTTAGTTCACCATCCACATTCAAGAGGCACATCATGTTTCTTATGTCTTCAGTTCTAAGTAAAGCATCTTTTACTTTTCGTTATAAAAAAAAAAAGATACCCATCTCAAGGGAAATTACTTTTAGGATGTTTTCTGAATAACACAGTTCTAAACTGTTATTATTTAGAGCAGATTCTTGAATATGTATCCACAGAATGATATTGACATCAATTAATATTGGTATTAGGATCAATGCCAAGCTAATAAGGTCAGTCTTAATTGAAACTTTACAGGGTCACCACACTGTAAAGTTGAGAACCTGTTTTATTACCATTTTTTGTGACTGGTTTTTTTCTTTTTACATTTTTGTTAAAGTAGTTCAGCTGTTTTTGATGAGTTAATGTAGTGTTGTCCAAACCATGTTGCTAGATTTATGTAACACCCATCTAAAGGCATATATCCAGTGAGGTCCACTTCATTAAAAACAACACTCTCAAGAAGCAGAATTAAATTTGACCCATACTTTCCCTCCCATTTTTAGTAAGTAGGCTATTTCTTAGATCATACTTAAGCCTCCAATGATGAAAATCAATTATTAAAATGACAACCTGATCAACCTCTTTGCTTTTATGGTGGAATTGTGTACAGGAGCTCCATGAATTGGGCATCTTGTTATATATGTGTGAAAAAGTGAGGCTTTCCCCCCCTCCTGTACTATAACCTATTTATAACACAAAATAAATAGGTCCTCTTCTCCAGCTTCACATAGTTGCTTTCAACATCCAACAGCACATTTGATGTTCAATGACACACATCTTCTGACTGGAGGTTTTATTATGACTGCTAGCCAGCGATAGAGTGATCTTCCATACTTTTCTTCTTCATTCTTGGTCTGCTATGAGACACTTCTATTGAATATATCTGAACTTATGTGTTACAATCTATATATAAATAAAAATGTAAATGTTTGTTTGTTCAAAATCTTAAATCTCCGAACGTTCTTCACCGATTGCTTTGAAATTTTGACACAACGTTGCATTCGAATACGCGTGTTTTTATATACCTATATTATATAGATGTCACACCTGTGACAGGTAAAAACATGTTTTTGAAAAACAGCGCCATCTGTTGGATGTAAAAGCAACACACGCCAGACTGAGCCACAGCAACGCGTGGCTGGGTACAGCTAGTAGTATATAAAGAGAAAGGCTGTCTTTCTCTAGTTTTCTTTCATTTGGTTAATGAGAAATATTTTTGTTTAGGTGTGAAAATAGAAGAGTACAGGCTAAACCCCCCCCCCACCATTATTTTAAATTTTCCTTGCAGGGAAAATGAATGATCAGTTTCAACCCACTTTCCACCAAGCAGTTGAAGCTCAGCCAGGAAGTGAAGGAGAGGTGAGTTTAATTTGGGAATTGGTATAGGAGAAAAGGGCTAAATGGTTTCTTTGAAGCCCCACTTTGTGTTGTTTTGAAGTTAATTAGATTTGTTTAGGCTAAAAGAAAAGAGAACTAATAACATATTATGTTGCATAGTCTGCTCTTTTACCTCTACTATTTTCATATCCCCTGTAAAGAATAGAATCTTTTCTGTGCTTCCTGGACTTGATTACAAGCCTTCTCACTACTGTCCTAATCTTCTTGTCAAAAAATACCGTAAGGAATAGATTCACTTCTATGAAAAAGGAAGAACTTCACTTTGCCAACAGTACTATAATCAATGCTGTGGGTGCCCAATGTTGTGCTTACAAATAGGAATTGGGCATGCTATCAAGCAAAGTACCAAATTGTGGCACCACCATGTTTTATTCCCAGCTTTGTAACTGGCCCTCTGTTCCAATTAACCCACTCATATATTTTTGCAGAAAATAAAAATGTGTTGTTTCTGTATATAGGTATATATTTCAAAGTAGATCACCTACCCAAGAAAAAGGAAACTGGAATATTATTCAACTCTCAGAATTCCCTAGCCAGCATGGGGAACCTCAGTTCTAGCATATTAGTGTTCTACATCTTATTAATGACCAATTGCACCCATTTTATGAATTGATAAACTTCATCCACAGTAACCATGATGAGAAGTGCTTTAAAATATTTCCATCAGCCAGAAAAAATAGGGATCTTAAACTTATCACATCAATTTGGGTACATTTGTCCATGCATTTTATCTGTGGATTGAAAAAAAAAATTGCTGCAGCACTGAATTCAGGCACAGTCCTTAAATGCAGCATCCAGCCTTTAGTAATATTTCTCCTCTAAAAAAAATACAACCATACCAGGAACACGTGGCTTTAGCAGTTTAGGGACCGAGTGTTTTGACTCTTTTAACCGCCCAATTCATTTCAAAACATATCCACTTAGAAAAAGTTTGACCACCGAAGTAACTGAGCAGCCTCTGAACAAAATTAGGACGACCTTTGTTTTAAATAAAGTGAGACAGCTTTTTTGCCTTTGTAGATCATAACATTTATTGAGCCTGCAATAAATCTGAGTTGGTAATGTGCTGTGGCACAGTTTGGGGTGCAGTTTACCCAGTCCAGAAGATGCAAACATCTCAATATCAAAAGATGGTATTCTATATTGTAGAACATTATGTAACCTTCTGAATTTAGAGATGGCCAAGAATCATATCCAAACCTTCCTCTGAGCCATGCACAACTTTCTGACCCCAGAAAACTGAAACAAATGGACAAGTTTTACGGAATAAGCAATGGTGATAATGATTATTATTGTTCATTTTCGCAATCTATATCTTGCCTTGCTGCTCATTAATATGGATGACCATGGGGAAAGAGAAGATGAGATGATGAGCTCTTTTGACAATGAGTGATCTTCCAAGAAAACACGTTGCAGTGCCATCTCTGGCAAGAAAGCAATCTTACACACATAGACAAACACACCTGCCAACCTTGGGAAATCCCCCCCATGCATTATAGGCTATGCCTTCTTCCCTCAATTCATCAGGACTTGGATGAATGGGACACATAATCTAAACACTTAGTAGCTATTAGAATGGAATGAAGTAGGGTTAGGTATGAAGCCACGGAAGCACACTTACGGAACAGAAAAAGGAACACAGTGTCACTTAGACAGGCATTAAACAAATGCAAAAAAACAAAAACAAAAAAACAAACCCCCAACAACCACCTTGACTTGAAATCGAAGATCCAAGAATCCTTTACAGTACCAATCTTCCTTGGCTTTGCAAACGGGGAAACAAGCAGCTGACCGAACCATCATCTTCCTCCCCTTTTAAACCATGGTCATCACTTTCAGGGAAGTAGGCTGGAATCTCCTAATTTTCTTCTTGAGAGCCTTTGATGCTTTGATCCGGCAGAGTTTGGGCACTGGTGGGAGAGGTTTGGCCAAGACTTGACCGGCTGCTGCCGCCTGCTTGCCCGTGGACGTGGGCCAGATCATCTCATGCTCCTGGATCTCATCAGCATAATCAAGAGTCAGGCTGCTGCCGCTGCTGCTGCCACTGCTGCTGCCCTCCTCTGAATCACTGTCACTGGATTCACTGTCCCCAAAGCGGTTGGTTGTATAGTCACTAATTTCTCCTTCGCTGGTCTCCGCAATGGTGGAGTGGAAAAGTGATGCACACTCAGCAGAATACTCTGAATGGTCAGACTCGCTTTTGGCATAGGCCCCTGGATGAAAAGGGAGGCTTTTTTTGGACTCGGCTCTCATGGTTACACTACGCAAAATCCCAGCTCGCCTTCCCTGTTTCGGTGGTCCCAAGGCAAGGCTGCTAGAAAGGCTGGAAACTTGGGTTTTTGCCGAGATCTCCACTGTGGATTGCCATTTGCGCTGCTTTTTTTTAATCTCTGGGTCAGAATAAGCTGCTTCAAGAGAATACACGGCATTAGCAGACGCTCTGCAGAGTTCAGACCTGGACAGTGTTTGAGGGATCCCAAATGGCACAGGATACAGACTGGATTCGGAGCAAGATCTGCCGGTGCTTTCCCCTGCGAAGGTAGGCCTCCGAATCAGATGCCTTCCCCTGAGCTGTCTCTGAGACAAACTCCACTCAAGAGGCAACTTGGCAGCAAGCTGGTGAACCCCACGTGGCTTCTCCATATAGAGCACCTGCCTGCCCGGCCTCAGCATCTTCTCACTATTCCTCCTCTTCATCTTCACAGGCTTCATTTTAGAATGAGCAAACCTGACTCGAACTTGATGGGACTCGGTAGGGACAAACTTGGCGTGAACCAACTCCTCCTGAGGCCCAGACTCGGGATCGTCAGGCTTTATGGCTCTCGGAGATTTCTTGTGAGATTTTTTGGCTGAAGCCACCCACGTGTTTGGGAGGCTCAAGTTGGAATCATCAACTCCAAATGGTGAGCTGGAAAAGCTGCGTTCTAGGCTGCTTTCCCCAGCCTCAATGACAGGAGAGTCCCACACAGGTGGCTTAGCAGGATAACAGCCATTCACAGCTGGCAAAGACTCTGTGTCAGCCAGTGAAGCTGTCTGCTCTACATTCACACAATGCACAGTCTCTAGCTGTTTGGCACATTCCCCTTCAGGTACATCCCTTGGTGGCTTCCCTTCGCTTTTATTGCAAGGCAGTAGGGCTCCCTGTTTTTCCAGCTGGCTGCTACTGCTGTTAATTTTCACTCCACCAGGACTGGGGATAATAATGAGTCTCTGCAGCATTGTGAGTGGCTGATTCTTTGCTGGACCCTTCTCACTGAACTCGGCAGGATAGCTGGCAGGATAGTTTCCTTTGCTGCGTGTCAACTGTAGCAGTTTGTTGATATAACCCCTTGGCCTGAGTTCTATAAGTGGCCTAGTCTTAATCAAGCTGGGCCCCGTGAGATGAGATGCACCTTTATTAGGTAAAGGGCGGCCCTCTGTTTCTGCCAGGGAGAAAAGGGGACTCTGTAAAGCAACTGCATGAAGAGGGCTAGGATAAGGATACACATCGTTCCCACTTTTAGAGACCAAATTGCTTTGGTATTTGGGGTCCATGCAATAAAATTGGACTTCCCCTCCTGAACCAAGCTGAGGAGAGGCCTTGAGGTCGGTGACTTTTGGAAATCCGGCATCCACCACGCCGAGTCTTTCAAGGTCACCTGAGGAGAAGACAGAATTCCACAAAAAGGTTAGCAGAAAGTAACATCTTTGGTGTTTCCATCCCTTTAAGTGAGCATCATTACCAGGCAATGACATGATGCTCTTTTTGATATCAATGAACTTTCCACATGACCCAAAGGCAAAGTGTTACATTGCATTATACTAAAAGATTCCTCCTTAGGTATGAAGCTCACGCCTCTAGTTTTCCGGAAGATATCCAAGCATAGATGCTCCCCATCTGTGACAAAGCCTATGTGTTCAGGATGACTTGTGGAATTCATTTGACAAACCATCCTGTCTTGGCTTCACTGCAGTACACACCAATATAAGCTTTCACAAACAAATGAAATGCAATTAATGAATCTGAATCTTTAAAAAAAAGTTATTATTCCACAGGATTAGTAATGAGGGGATAAACCTGTGTTCAAGATTGGTTGGTTCATTTTTTGCCATGGATATAGTATTGCATATCTCTCATTACCAGAAAAGTATGCAAATGTCTGAAATGACTCAACAAACAAGGTAACCAAGGCAAATTTTCTATTCTATATAAGTTAAATGCTTTAGTTGATACAAGAAGCATGCCCAGATAGTGCCATTTTATGACAGTATTGCCCAATTTTGGAAGAAATTTCTTGATATGGGCAGCAGCCGTATTACTTCTTTCACAGAGCAAGTGGATAAAAACTATACAGTAAAAAAAAATCAGCTTGCTCTAATCAAGTAAGTTGGAAGGCTAAACCTAATAAAAATAGAAATTTCCTCTTCTTGCTATGCATCCTTTTCATTCTTTCTAGCACTTTATTCAGTTCAAATGAAACTGTGTCTTTAAGATCATTTAGTTACTTATTGCAAACACTCTGAACTGAACAGCCCCTCCAACTTTATGTACCTCCTGCACAAACCTGGAGGTTTAAATGACCACCAAAATAGTTAATAAGAAATGCAACTTTGCTCATCTCCAATAGGTACACATATCTCATCAACGCATACCTCTTATCAGCAAGAAGTCAGCTATTCTCCTTACATCTAAGACAGAATGTTTTTAAAATTCCTCCAGTGTGATTAAAGTGGGTTGTGTGGTACTTAAGTACAGACTCGACTTTCAAAGTATCTGCTGTTTCCAAGACATTGAGACAAAAGAGTCTTAGTGAAAAAGCAGAATTTACTTATTAGTACTTAGATAGGAGACCACTTGGAGATATGAGAACAGAGTAAATGAGAGCAGGAATACAAAAAAAAAAAAAAAAAAAAGTCTCAAAAGGCAATGGCAAATCAAGTCCATAAAATCACCAGATTCTGCTTTGATGAAATTGGTTTAAGACCGAGAACTGAATTTCATGATATGAACACCATAGAACCATGTCAACAGTTTGCACTATGCAGTGTGGCCACAAACTTTGTTTATCTTTGTTGTTATTGAGAGGGAATATTGAAATTCTAAACTCCTTGCCCAAACTGAAGACCAGACAGTAATTCAACAGACAGTAAGTACACTGTGCTGTTTCAAGGAAGGCTAAAATGATTAAAAATTTGTCTGATATAAACTGTTAAAAGCATAGAGACTTTAACTGAGGTTAAACCTTTTACATATGTGCTATGTGAAAGATAACTTCCCACAGTGTCCAGTCCAGGACAGCTTCAACAACATCCTCTTACTTCTTTTGAATGAAAGACTAAATGACTACAGCCTCAATACAAAAAAACATGTGCCTTACCATCTTCATCAATAATACCAAGGATGAAAAGAAAGCTATTTCCCTTTCTAACCAAGATCTAAAGCAACTGAGATACTCACCAGTAGAAACAGGCCTTGGTCTAGACTTGCTTGGAGTGCCTGAAACATCTAGGCAGGCTTTGCTTTGGCATCCATCACTGTTATGAGGTCCCTCCTGTTGGAACTGGGTGCGCACTGTGGTTTCATCTGCAGATTTGGGTCGGTAATCAAAGATGCTAAGATGGGTTCTGGAAAGCTGAGAACTTGGTAACAAACTGGCATGGGAGGAGGAAACGGATTCACTGAAGACAGATGTGCAGGAATTAGATAGAGAGCAGGAGCCGCCATCACTCAGATCATAAAAACCTGATGAATCAAAAAAAAAAAAGAAAAAGAAAGAAAGAAAGAAAGAAAGAAAGAAAAAAGAAAAAAAAAGAAAATATTTCCTGGTTTACAGAGAAGAAATATATTGCATAGCACAAGGTTCAGTTGGAGTACTTCTTTCTCTTCCATTTCATAGATGAGAGTACTGAGAGAGGAAAAAAACTACATGCTTTCATACAAAATTTCATTCACAAAATTTTGCAACGGTGAGTTAGACATTCTGGTCTTATACTTCTAAGCCTGCCAAGTCTTCCCACTGTTTCTGGCTTTTCTCATTAAAAATCTCTCGGTGAGGGAAAGTCTGAAGAGATATATGTCTTTGACTGGCAATGTCAAAACTGTCATACACAGGTGAGCAAATTTTGAAGGAAGCCCCAGGAGATTAAACAGCATTTTGAGCCAGGGCTCCAAAATAGACAAAAGTAGGACACATAGAAATGGTGTAAAAATGAAATGAAAGGTACAGCTAAAGCACAGAAACAAGCTTTGTTTTATTTCAGTTACACTAACTGTATTCATTTAATGAATTGAAAAAGACAGCTCCTCATCCATGAAAGGATTTGCCTTTTCTATTTCCTCCCTATGCTCATTTTAAGCAGAACATAATTGTTATCTGAATGATCAATGCCATTTATTTCACAATTGTACTATACCAATCCACATAGTAAACATTTAAAAACCACAGCTCTCAAAAAGCAAAAGAAGAACAGGAAAAAATAAGATTAGTTGGATGACAGATCTACTGGGTCAACCAAGTGTAAAAGTCCTTGCTATGATGCAACCACTGGCTTTTTGTCTCAGGAAAAAGAAATGAAGAAAAAAGATGGAAGAAAGAATAAGGCAAAAGGCACAAGCTAAAGTAGAAAGGAATGGATCAAATAGGAAGGGAAGACTGGAGATGGGTTGAGTGTAATTGAAAAGCTGGTTGTCGTTGTTGGTGGGGAAGGTGGCAAGACCAAGCACAAAGAAGCAACAATGGCATGAAGGTTGGTAGCTTCAAAGAAAATGAAGACAAGATTGAATGATGGAGATGGAGATAGGACTAGTTTGAGAGATGTACCAATGGCAATTGAGAGGTTTCAATATCACTGAAATTCAGCAACAACATTTGGGTTTCTGTGGGATTCTAAGTAATCTCTAGTAGGCTGCAGGTTGCGCGCATCTGTATTTTAATAACTTACTATGAAATGTTAGTAGTCACTATCCATAATTATCCACGTCCATGCTCCTCAGAACAAATTTAGAGCCTCCAAAACTGCACTCTACTTTTTATCTCTTTCCCACTTCACACAAAAACAGATGTTTGGCAAGAATCTCACTGAGTCAGTTCACACATCACCCACAGTTTATAGTAAGAATGCCCACTTGTGCTTTATGACTTTCACAAGTTGCTTGCTGTTTCCCTTCCTGTGTGGGTAAAGACAATGAAAAATATCCATGGTTTGCTTTGTTTACCTTAGTATAAGTCAAAAAAGCCTAACTATGGCTTTGTCCATCTAGAAGAAAAATAAAGCATAAAACCATTTCTTTTCTGGTTTGCTTGTTCTCAAATTTCTGAACAAATGAATCTATGGTCAGTCTACTTCATGCTAAGTTAGGTTTACAGAATCATGAAGGATTTATTAACCGTTCCCTTCCAGAGAAAGAACCAGAGATCTCCTTAAGCTTTGTTGTTTAATATAAGGAAGGAAGAGTTGCAAAGGCAGTCACTGCCATTACTTCTAGCTATGATCAGGATGGAGATAACAAGTTCCTCGAAAGCAAACAGACTATCTATAATGTGCAAGTAGTTCTCCAACATCTGAAGAACAGCCACAACTAAAAAACACACACCTCATAATAGACTGAGAAGAATATTTAAGGAAATTTTATTTTATCTTATAACATTCAGCATAGCTGAAAAAAAATTATGGGAAATGGTAGTTCAATAGTGATAACAGCCACCAGGTTAAACAAGGCTGGTATTCATCAATGCAAAATATACACAATAGCAATCCTGAGCATAGGATTCCACTTTTTGAAAGATGGTTGACTTCAAAGAGTCAGAACACTAAAAACAGAAACTTAGAAGACAAGCCACCTTATATATATAAGACTAGCTCATGAGAGCTAAAGAGCTTGAATATATATATATATATATATATATATATATATATATATATATATATATATATATATATATATATATAACATTACTATATATATATTATATATATATTGCTATATCTTAAAAACAGTACTAAAAATAAAGGAATGATTCCTGGGTATACTCATGACGAGAGATAAAAAAGTGTGAACACCAGGAAAGGTTTAAAAAACTATAAAAGTTTTAATATGTTAAAATCCTAGCTTTCGCTGGCCACTGCCAGCATCATCAGGGATCAATCCAGGTCGATGGGAGCGCTTATTTATACAAGACCAAATTATTTTTGTGCCCGACCCATGAACGCCGTCACGGGACTCCGTCGGCCAATCGATATATATATAGCAATAAATTACCATCTCCCATTTCTTTCAGGGTTTTTACTATTGATTGATTATCAGTCCATCTTTTTCATTTCCAAGTTGCAACAAGAGGAAGGCAAGAGACAGAGTGGTGCTAACTGAAGCGGAAGAGTTGGATGAGTTAAGATGTAAGTGTGAAGTTCTCCTTTTGCCCTTCATTTGGCTAAACATGGTGCCCCACAAAATAGCTTAATTTCACTTAATTTCAAGAGCACAATCAGCAGGGGCTCAGGGGCTGGAACAGGAAGCTAGGGAGACATATGGAGCCTGTTCTATACCAATAAAGTTTCTTTACATGGATTACATTTTGAGTTATCACTGCTTTATTGTATTGGCCACAGTAAAAAAATAAAAATGTTCATAGCAGAAGAAAAGGAAAATCATCCAATTACCTGAACTGGGCCTACTATCACTATCAAAATATTCAATGGAAGTTTTGCCGACATCCAACTTCAGTTCGCTGATCTGCTGGTCCAATTGATCCAGATGACTTTTCAATCCCACATCTTGTCTCCTCAACCGTGACTGTTCATAAGGGAAAGGGAAGATGTTCAATTTCTATTGGCTCTGTAGGATCAACTCAATATTCCCATCTTCTGGGACTAGTCTGATCTTTGAAGAAATAGCACAAAGGCAGAGCAAAATAGGAAGACTAGTAGTTTCTAGTCACAACATGTTGACTGGATTCCATGAGGATTTAAATTGATGATTTTGATGGTAAAACTGAGCATGCAAGGACCATACAAACAATTCACATTAATATATTTTGAAGTTCTGTCTGTAGAACCTCTACTTGTGTGGATCTTTGTGTCAATTAATAAATCATTTCAGAAATTTAGGGACTTGGGGGAACCACCCTAACCTGTACACTGCCCAGAGTTAATCTGTAAGATGGGTGCTACTTAAATTAGATAGACAAAGATAAATAAATACTGTAGGCTGTTTAAACTGGATAGAGACAGTCTCAAAATCTTCTGTGATATAAGGCACAAGGATATTAAAATATTCCTTTTTCTCACCCTAAGCAATCTACTAATTCCAATTTATGGATTATGTGGTTTCTTCCTCTTACATGCACCTCAATGTCCTTTCCAGCTACTAAGAAAATACAAAGGAAAGGCTTCCACTGATTTCAGAAAATCTGGAGAAAATCCATAAAGTTATTGATTTTAAATCCTTACAGTCAATAATACTTAATATATTTCTAGGTGAAAAGCTTCCAATATTGTCTTCTTTGGAAGGCATTTATTTATTTATTTTAGAAAATTTTCCTTCTCCAAAACAAAACATATGTTCTATTCAAATTGAGGAAAATACTGGATTTACATCAACAGAATTTTAACAAACATGTTATCCCAAAAAGTTCTGCTGTTGATTGAACTAGGAAAAGAATATACTTTACAGCAGGGTCCCCAACCCCCAGGCCACAGCCCACTACCAGGCTGTGATCTGTTCAAAACCGAGCCACCCAAAGCTGCAGATGAGCGTGCACACACACCCCTTTCACAAGCAGCAGGTGAACGCATGCACGTGTGCTCCCTTTGTGCGAGCAGTGGGCGGGAGTACCCGCTGCTCGCACAAATGAAACTACACGCGCACTTGCCTACTGCTTGCACAGAACCATCCCCTCCCCCCTCTCCTGCCAGTCCACAAAGCCAGAAAGGTGGGGAACTCTGCTTTAGACTGTCTATAGGTCTGTGTGTGTTGACATGGCTCATAAGCCTGAAAACATATACTTTTAGCTTTTCAGTTCCCACTATCGTAGAATTAATGATTGCTGGAAATGATTGGCAGTAAACTCAGAAATTTCAATCATTTGAAATTTCACTCATCTGCAAGACAGCAGTAACATCTGGAACAGCAGTGGCTTGTTAGGAAGCACTTAATTTAACTCCCTCTTTCCTCTCTAATTTACTACTCCACCTCCTACCAACCTTACAAATTTTGCCAGCAAATATATCTTAGAAGCCTAGCTGGGGGACCAAAAGCTTCAGAATTTTGCACAGATTTTTAACAGATGAAACCGCCAAGCAAGCATCCAGATTTCTTACATGTAGACAACCAATGTGGAAGGGGTGGGCAGAGAAATGGGAAACTTCACCCCCAACATCCCAATCTCTCCAGTCACTTTCTTTCCTTCCTTGGATTGGAGATGGGTCCACATGAATGACAGTACAATATTTGTTGTGGCTTACCCTGACACTTATATGAATAATAACCTCCATATAGTCAGGGAGTCTGATAAAAGCTGAGTTCTTAATTGCAGTGGCCTACACAAGCCTGTGTTTAACGGGTTTCCAAATTGTGTTTTGATAAGCTGAGCAGCAGGATCATCTTCCATGGCCTCTTGGCCAGATGCATTTGTTCAGCAAAAGTATTAGCTCTATGGATTCTCTGTTCCACAAGCAGTTTCCAAGATGATGTATACCACTATTAGCAATCTCATACTGTTGTACAAGAGATGCAGTTTCCTGCAGGCTTCGTTAGGAGACCTAATCTAACAACGGCACCAATCACCATACAATCCATTCAAATGCATAACCTTTATCGCTAGCATTCCAAACTAACAGGATACATGTATTTTTCTGTCTAAGCACTGCGCCTCTGATGTGCAAAGGAATGAAAGAGCTTTAGGCTTTACTGATTTCAGGAAGTAACTGAATTTTGTTTTCATGGTTGGAATTAATTGCTTCATGATTAATGTTTTGCCAGCCAATCCCTCCCTTTGTGGTTCCTGATTAATGGCAGAGAGGCCACAAAGCACTCACAGGACTCTCAGGTATTCAAGGATAATTTATTGTACCAGGATCTGTTTGCAATTTTACAGCACTTTAACCAGTCTGAAACGATTTACACTAGCCTTATAAACCCCTTCCACTTTTCCTACCATGAGACCTGGTGTGCTTCATCAGTGTTTGATTGGCTTCATACTTCTCAACTATTCCTGATTTGTATTTCTTGTGCTCAAACTGCTCATTTGAGACCATTTTTTGTTGTTGATGATCCCAAAATCAGTTTGCTCCAGTCAAGGAGTCAAGGCCTGATACAACCCAGCCCAGAAAATTTAGGGGTGAGGCTCCTTACAAGGAATTGGAATTTTCATCAAGAGTTCCATAAATCAGATATACTGGACTAATTCCTTCCAACACTGTTACCAACAAGGGCTTTTGTTGTAGGTGACTGGACCTATGTGAATTGTAGTTCGACAGGTTTGGAAAGCACTCTGTGCTGTTCCATAAGGCTTTGTTTTCCTCCAAGTCTTGACTTAATTAGAGTTCCTGATGCTATTAAGAGCTTGGGGTCTTCCAAATTGCTAGTTCATCTCCAATTTGTTTTTGGTTTTTTTGGGAGGGGAGGGAGATAGTATTTTTTTTAATATTGCCCCACTGTTGATCTCCAAGATATTCTACCACAAAACACATAAGGGAGAGGTGTGCAAACAAAATTGCAAGGAACACTTGAATAACATTAGAAAATACATTTTCTGGTACTTTTATATCAATAAAGGTATTTTCATTTATTTATAAATCATTTCAAGTTATTAGGCACTAAGCAAAAGATAAAAGAAATAAGCTTTTGTATAAAAGCTTAGAGTAGGACAAAGAGAAGCAGACTAGGGAAAAACAGAAATGGTGGGGACAAGGTCAAAGCAGAAATGTTACTCGTAGCATTAGCAACTAATTTTAAAATATCAGCCGAGGCAAAAAAAAAATCCTCCCTTTGCTAAAATAGAAAAGAAAAACAAACTTCTTTTCTTAGAAAATTAGAAATATTTCTGATACAGACCATCCACTAAAAACTGAAGACATTTGACATCAGCTCCATTTTACCTTTTCTAGAGCACATGGCCAGCTCATTTAGGGTTAGATGGAATTTCAGCAAGAATAACTGGTCCATTCAGCGCTGTAAAGTTTTGAAGTGCGTGCCAAAATCTACAGAGGCATAAGGATCTCAGTGCTGAAAGGCTGGCCATTGTGCTCTCACTGTTGCCCAGAGGGCAAACAGATTTGACTTCCCTTCCTGCTCTTCCTGAATATTATCTGCTGTCTAGTAATCAGATTATTTCAGCTAAATTCCTATTTTTAACTCTGTTGTCTCCCAACCAATGTTACTAGCAAGTGTGAGGTAAGTTTTACAATTGTGGGAATGTTACATGGCCAAGCGGACATACTCAGCCCCTAATTACAATGTGAAAATGTGGTGAAGGTTACCAATATGGATGACTCATTTAGCTGAATATATTTTCTAATACTGTGTTCTTTAAACATAAAGAGTGACTTCATCAAAATAAAGGCACAGTTATTATGGTGAAACTAAATGCTTATTTGTACATATAATTGGATTCAGTAGCCATGTTTAGGAATGCAACCTTAATTTTATTGCTTTTCTTCTTAATGAAAAGCAGTGGAGACTGGACACACTTGATCTAGAAGGCTACTTGTTTAGGAGACACGGTGTTAAAAGTAGGAATTTAGCTGAAATAATCTGATTACTAGACAGCAGATAATATTCAGGAAGAGCAGGAAGGGAAGTCAAATCTGTTGCAATAGTCGGTCTCTTCAAACTGTGTGTGACATGCTTCTAAGTGCAGGACTATATTACCTGTGCTTTAGGGAAAGATCTGTTGAACTTTGGGACTCTCAGATGCCTTAAGCTATTGATAACTTTGATCAGGATGTCTTAAGATTGTTTGATAAAGTCTGTAAGTCAGTAATGTCCTCTTTGTGTTCTTAATATACTAATTTTTTAAATTATTATTCATCAAATTTCTATACCACCCATCTCACCTAAGTGAATCTGGGAAGTTTATAAGTAAAAAGAACCTACTGTAAGTATTAAAAACAAAGTTAAAAAGTTAAGTTACAGAGGTTTAAGGTTTTAAAGAGGCAGAGGGTGTGCCCTCAAGACATCAACCATCCCCAATGTTGCATGCTACTCTTATTCCCCCATGCCAGTTGGCAGAATCAGGTTTTGACACTGTTCCAGAAGGCCAGGAAGGTAGGGCCTGCCTCATCTCTGGAGGTAAGAAGTTCCATAGAGCAGGGGAAATAGCAGAGAAAGCTCTTTTCCTAGACCCTACCAGCTGAAATTCTTTAGCCAAAGGGGTCTGCAACATACCCTCCCTGATTGAGTGGGGTTGGTCAATGAAATAGGTACAAGACAGTTCTCAGGTAGCCAAGTCCCATGCCACAAAGGGCTTTAAACATAATAAACAGCACCCTGAACTGGATCCAGAAGCAAGCAAAATATTGGACTATTGATATGTATAAAATCTTTTCCAATAAAGGGAGCACTGTGAAGTCTTTTCCTTCAACTCCTTTCTCAGCTAACTTTCTGCTCAATTTTCGTCAGCTAACCATCCATCTTCAAATCTTATACAAATGGAATGAATGAGCTACTATAACTCAAAGTACAGGTATCAAATAGGAACAGACTTTTAAATAGAAGTCCTTGGGAGTTTGTATTAACCCATCAGCCTTGAGCAAGCAATAAATGCTTTAATGCTCTTATTTTCTTTGGCATTAAATAAAATATAGTGGGTTATTAGTTAATATTATCAATGGCAGGCAATCAAAAGATTGGCAGTACATTTGTGCTGCCATTTTGACTCTAATCAAAACATGCTTGCTTCAAAGTGTTCCAAGTGGGATTTAAGCATCTCATGAAGGTTAAAGTCAATTTTCACTCCCCAATCCCTTCTGATAAGCTACTCACTTGTCGTGAATACTCTGTCACACCTGATGGATAATTAATGGCCATGTCTAACACCAATAAAGAGGGAGGGATCTGGGAGATCTGAATTAGCTCAATGTTTACTGAAGTGTGTAATTACCAAGATTGGAGAGACTGAAGCCTATAACATTTTGATTGAATTCTCCTTCAGGAACATGTTCCATATTTTAAAAAAGAAGAAACAACAGAAGCAGCTGTTACACAACTTCAATCTATTCCATCTAAACAGGTAGAAGTAGGAGAAGGGGTGTTTCTCTTCCAAACTGCAAAGTAGAACCAACTAAAAGGTTACAAAGAAATAGATGAGCTTCAGAGGTATTCAGACTATTATGCCACAAACCCCTGAAAACAGTACATACGAGAGAAGGAAAGATATTTTTTTTTTAATAGACTAACATGAGATCCCAATTCCATCCTATAGCTTATGTATGGAAAAACAGGATAGGTGAGAATCCAAAACAGTTCAATAAACTAAGATAGCTGGATTATATGAATATAGGGCAACACCCCCTATTTGTGCATCTGTCTGAAAAACTAGTTGACTCTACTAATAATGCAAAACACTTATGTCACTGCCTCCACTGTGCTAGCTCCAATAGATAGGAAATACCAAAAGGAATATATATATAAGGCTGTGAGCCAGATATATATTTACAGTGGTTTGGTCATGAATTTATTAAGTAATCTTTCAGTATCACTTCTCATCATATAGTGATGATCATAATTCTGAACAAAATTACTTGAGGATGTACAGAAATAATCTATGTGAAATAATGTGAAACTCTATACCAGTGGTTCTCAACCTTTTTAATGCCGCAACCCCAACCGGTCGTAAGTCGAGGATTAAACCGGTCGTAAGTCGAGGACTAAACCGGTCGTAAGTCGAGGACTAAACCGGTCATAAGTCAAGGACTACCCAACCGGCCGTAAGTCGAGGACTTTCCCTGCCCGGGAGCGCCGCGCATGTGTGGTTCCGCCCCCTGTGCCGGCCGAGGCGTAGCTGGCAAGCGGCAGAGACAGAGCAGGCCGACCACCAGCTGGCCCAGCCCAAGGGAGGTAAGGCACCCGCCGGAAAAGGGGGAAAAAAATGGCGGACAAAAAAAATGGCAGACAAAAAAAATGGCGGACAGCCTTGCTTGGCGACCCCCATGAAATGGTCGATCGACCCCAAATGGGGTCCCGACCCACAGGTTGAGAACCACTGCTCTATACTAAATATTACATAAATATGGTTTATAAAACAAATCTTGAAAAATCTAACAATATTCTCATGGCTGCATTATACCGTGAAATTTAAATATACAAATAAAATTCAACATAAATAAATTTGATGAAAAAAAAAGTACTAAGTAACCTTATGTGGTCTTGTTTACCTGTTTGAAAGACCCAACAGCTGGATGGGTTTGTTCCCATATTCTTGGTCTGACTCACTACTTTATTTGAAGCAAGGTAAGAAGGTTGACACAAAATGAATTTGACTGCTGATTGCTCTTTCAATAGTTCTAAATGTAAGCCAAAACCTGCATGAATACACCTAGGGATAGACAACTAATCTGTTTAAGATTGTGCCTTTTCTCTACTCCATTCCACCCTCTTCCCTCTGCATGCTGTAACATCTCAGAGATCCAGGGATTTTGACAACTTACCCACAAATGTTTAAATTCTTAGCTGATATTAATAAAGGCATTTCCTGATTTTGATGATACAGCAGATGCCTTAATTTGTTCTCTTGATGCTGATGAAAATGTTAACAGAGTAATAACAAAGTTGGGAGGGAGCTTAGAGGTCTTCTGGCTTTGCTTCAGAATAACCCTGTGTTCTCTTATGCTGAGAGTGACTTGATCAAGTCTCTCCAATAAAAGTCATGGTCCAAGGCTATTTTATATTTCTTTAGGATAAGATATTATCTTCTCTTTCACAGGATGAGTCAGTCAGTTTAGAACTATCCAGTGTGATTGACAATACCTGCCTACCTTTATGTCCAAACTGACTAAAATGCTGGAGTTTATAATTTTGGTATATCTAAAGGTAGCACACTGGAAAAAGCTGCATTAGAAGTTATAGTCAAATTAAGTTTAGATTACCTTGAATCCTTTTTTCTATTTTAAAAATGCAGATACTGTGTAATACCTTCAAGGAATCAGAGATACTGATATGTGAGTGTGTGTATGTATGTATATGTATATGTATATATGTATATGCATATATGCATATATGTATATGTATATATGTATATGTATGTATATATGTGTGTGTGTGTGTATATATATATATATATATATATTTATATTTATAGTTATAATTATGTTAAGGAAAAAGGTATCTACGTGGAAAGATGTTGATTGCTGTTTTTGTGCTTAAAATGCCTTTATTTTATCAATAAAATATATTTGCATGGAAAGGAAGTCAAATAACATGTACATGTATTGAAAACTCAGAATGTAAGCAAGATCTGGAATCATCCCAGTGGATTTTGTGCACCAGAATAATTTAATTAGAATGTGGAATGGGAAATGAGTTTCATACTTGGAATAACTAGAAAACAAGAAAACAAAACCTCAGACTAAAACTGTAAACTGAATGGCTTTACAGTTTAATTAAATGTATGGCTATGGAAGGAGAACTAAAAAGATTGGGAATTGCCAAGACATCCCAAAAAGAGAGAGCCTTTCTGCTCAGTCTCCTCTAATCTCCTCAGAAATAAACCCAATTTAACCTTCTAAATCATAATTTTCAGCAAAGCTTCACAAGGTAACTTTGTATATAAGTCCCCATCAGTTGTATTTACTTTTGAGTCAGCATTCATAGGATGCTGCTTGTGCTTAGGTTTCAGGCCTGTTGAGGTAATGGCACATCAAATAGAACAAAAGCTCTCCCTTCCCACCTCATTTTGGTATAAAAGGGCAGCCATGTCCTTTTCTTGAAAGTTGCACCATAAAATTCACATTCACATTCCATTTTAGTAGTGTCTGACTGCTTGGACTGTGAGCTTCTCCCCATTAAATAAGGTAGGACTTACTTGCAAATGCCCATAGAACTGCAGCCTCAAATTTTTTTTTTTTTTTTAAAGATACTGAATAATGGGTGGAGTAGATCAAAGGGGCAATTTAGCATCCAAGTCTACTTACCCATAGGTACTTTCTCACTGACATCAAGAGTCTGCAAGATCCAAGTCAAAACATGTAGCTAATGGAACCCTATTGCTACTCAGATTCAGAGTTATTTCAATATTTTCTTGTTGTACAGAATTTACATTTGTGTTTAAAAATGCAACAAACCGGAAGCACTTATGGACGACAATCTCATATAGTGGTTAACTTGCTATACATTTACTTGGAAAAATGCAATATTTAAAAGACCTCTTAGATTGAGATGGAAGATACAGGGACCGCCCCAGGGTTATTATATGACTGCAATTTTAAGAGATTGGGTTCTGATTTAAATTATTACACTGGAGAATTTGAATATTCTTAACTTCAAATGCAGACATATATATATATATATATATACTCTTTTTCTGAACATGTGAGAACATACCCTGTCGTTTCTTTTAGAACATATCCGAGAGCCTTCTCCTTTTTTTAATGGTTCCCATTAAAATAGGGTGTGTGTACGTATGTGTATATATATTATATATAAATTCTATTTATACAGTAAAGATCTAACAGATAAAACCTAAAGAAGAAGATCGGGACAAAGATTGTGCAACTAGGCAGAGAGAGACTGCAGGTGGGGAGGAAACTTACTATTAAAATACACTCTGTGCAGAGGTAGGCTGCTGTTAGCAACACCTCCCTCGAAATCCGTCTTTTCAAACAAGAACGAAAGATTTCCCTCCTCGTTCAGCCCAGAAATAATGGATTTACTAGCAGGGGCAATCCTTTGAGGGAAAGGATCTACACATCTAGACACCTCGCCTGGCAAGAGGCGGAATAGGGAGAGAGCCATACAACCAGGAGAAGCGAACAATGACCGACTACGACCCCGCCGGTTTTCCACCAGGCGTCTCTCCCTCCAAAGCTGCCGGCTGCAGAACCGGCACCAAACATCTGCTTTGGCTTCCCCGAGAGCCAGCCGGGCGCGCCTACCTGTCCAGAACGGCCAAGAGCTGCCGAACAGCGCGTGTCGTGGGCGCGTTGCAAGTCTTCCCCCCCCCCCCACCTACCCACCCCACTCGCAAACCAAGGGCACCCGTGACCCAGGAGCCTCCGTCGGAGCCTCCGCAGCGGCTCCCTTACCAGTTGCTCCTTCAGGGCGCTGAGGGTGGCTTCCAAGCGCTGCTCCTTGTTCTGTGCCTGGCTCTCCTCGGCTGGGCGCTGCATGGCCAAAGCCTCGCTCACCAGCGCCCGCTGCTTTTCCCGCAGCACCTGGAGTTCCTGGAGGCCAGCCAGGGCGGCTTGCAGTCTCTCGCTGACCCTGCAGCGGTCCCAGCCGCCCGGCCGCTGTTGCTGCTGCTGCCTCCCCGAGAGCATCTTTCCTTGCCACGCCGCTCAAGCCACGGCCATGCCAGGCTACGCCGGAGCCTGCTGCTGCTGCTGGAAGGGTCAAGAGCGCGCAAAGGCGGCGGCGGGGAGCAGCCTCTCGCTTCGCCTCCGCCAGACGGAATGAAGCGGAGGAGCGGCCACTGCGGCTGGGGAGCGGGCGGAGGCGAGGCTGCGGTTCAACGCCCTCTCCGGCGCGGGGCAGCCCAGGGCCACCGCCGAGCCGAGGAGACAGAAAGCCGGCGAGGGCGAACCAACCGGCGAGGGGCCGCCTCATTCATTCATTCCTCCCCCACCCCACCCCACCCCACCCCCAGCCGCGGAGTCCCCGCCCTCTGGTGGGGAAGGTTCAACCAGAGGTCTGGCGATCCTGGGGAGGACCACTGTCTCAGGAGGGGCACGAGTGGGGGTGATTTGTGTCTGCCTCCCTGCAAATTCCCCTCCCACCTTCCCACCCCACCAGTGAAGTCAGGCTGCAGTTGAAGGCATAGGCTCCATAGATCTTGATCCTCATAGGGTTTGCAGGGGTAAAAGGGCCTTCACGTGGTGCTCGGCTGCTGGCGGCTACCTGGATGCATCCAAATGGGGGTGTTTTTTTTTTTGCAGCAGCAAAGAAATCTTTTCTCCTCTTCCTGGGTGGTTTTTTTTTTTTTTTCAGCTTCTCGGTCTAGGAATTTTGCAGGAATCTCTCCTCCACCTTTTCTCCAGGTGTGTCCTGCTTGGCTTCCGAACCCAAGGAAGGTGACTGTGGCAGCTGCTAAGCTATAGAGTCCATAGTTTCAGTCTTTCCTGGGAGGAGGGAGTAGCTGAATTCACAGTCCATGCAACAGTCTCGTGGCTGATTTCTTGCCTGAGTGTATCCAGCATGCTTGCAACATTTGAGTCCAGCTGGAATGAGAGAACTGAATTTTACCTATGGTCCCCCCTCTCTCCTCAGAGGAATCAGTTGGAATTACATTTCTCAGCCAAGTTGCAACTGATTCAATGGGAGTTCAGCTGCAGCATGTAACACTTTTCCATCTTATCTAGTGAACACCACAAATGATCCCTGATTGTACTGAGCACACACACATGCACACACACACACATACACACACACACAAACCAAAAAGCCAGTGGGTGTTTGAATCTGGATTTCCAAGTTCAAGGTCAGATTATCTGCTGCCATGCTTCCCTTTTTCCTTCCTTGAGGTGACTGTCCTTGACAAGAATTAGCTAAGACTTTTTCTCACAAAAGGGCTGAGTGAAAAACCAAGACGTTTAATGTTATTTCCCAGTAACCACAAGAGATTGAACACGCCACATTGGTTTATCAGCAGCTCATGGCAAAAATGACTGATGTTTTTTTTATAGGGGAGTACAGTTTTACCATCATCTGGTTCAAAACGTTGCCTCGGTGAAGGCCAGTCTGGTGGTGATCTGCTTCCAGGTGGTGATTTCCTTAGAGAGACAGTGAGGTTGGGCTCTGCACTTTGATTGACTGCTTCGGTCTGGAGAAACAAAATCTTTTGTCTTTGTGTGCACAGAAGGCACTTTTATCATCTTGGCTGAACTAGCAAGCCTTCTGAAGTCTTCAGCTTTGATCCAGGACAGCACTTGATTTGGCACTTCCCTTCTAAGACGTGTTCTGATTGATGCTTCATTAAACTGCCCTAATATTTGGTGAATGGCCACCATTGAGAAGGATTCTACCTATATTTCACGTTCTTCTCCTTTTGCTACTTCTATTCTTCTACCCTACAATGAACATGTGTGTCTTGTCCTCTCAGGGTGTTTTTCCCCCCCCTCCAACTGTTGCAGGAGTTGGCAGATGTTATTGTTAGCCCTTTTGAGTGCCAGACTATTCTTTTTCTCAAGTATGTAGCTGTTCAGATCACCAGAGGAATTCACTATATTTTAGGATTTAAGGCTGGATGTTGCTTCTCCCAGAGGCAAGCAACAGTCTTTGAGGAGAAGTTAGAAACATTGCTCTAAAAAAGGAGAAGGGGTGTCTTCTGACATCCACGTAAGGAATTTCAACATACCATTTTGTGAGATTATACATGCAATTTTTTTCTACAGGAATATAGCAAGGCACGAATGATACCCGCTTCTTGAAGAAAGCCAAAAGACACCATGGCTTTTTGAAATAGGCTGCAATGGATTCGGCTTTAATTGTGCTTAGAAATCCATTGAAATCAGGGAGACAATTACTATTTAAGGTCTTATAAATTTCTGTGGGTTTGCTATAACCATGACTAACAACTCACTGAGCAAGTACCATTGTTTGGAATGTATTGCTATATTGGTATATGACCCCCCCCCAATAAAAAGGAATAAAGATCTCAATATCCAAGATATACTTTTCTAACCACACAAATATAAAGTAATCCTCATCAGCTTCTAATGAACTGCAGATGCAGTTTGATGATACTCTGTTCCTGCTTTGTGTCTCACTGGGCTGAGAGCAAGGGACATCTTCCTTAGTTTTTATTTCAAGTTACTGTAAATAGCATATAACAGAGAGACAGTTTGGTGTAGTGGTTAAGATACCAGGCTAGAAACTGGGAGACTGTGAATTCTAGTTTTGCCTTAGGCAGAAAGTCAGCCTGGTGACCTTGGGCCAGTCACACACACTCAGCCCTAGGAAGCAAGCAACGGCAAACCACTTCTGAACATCTTGTCAAGAAAACTGTCCAGGCAGTTGCAGGAGTCAACACTGATTTAAAGGCCTCCACCCCTCCCCAAAAGCATACAGTGTTGTTCAGACATCAATCCTAGAGCTTTTCAACCTTTTCACCCATTGTACCACTTTTAGGATATGGCAATATCCGAGTACCACCAGTTGCCTAGCAAGGTGTCAAAAACTTGATGACACCCCCCCCAAACGAAAAAAGTGATGAAGTACAGGTAGTCCTCGACTTACAACACTTCGCTTAGTGACTGTTTGAAGTTACAATGGCACTGAAAAAAGTGCCCCCCAAGGCACAGCCGAGCAAGACACCTGATTGCCTGCCCGGCGGCGCTCTTCCTTCTGTCCGAGGTTTTCATTGTTGTGAGCATTTCTGTTGAGGATTGGCAGTGGGGGTGGGGTGGGGGGTGTTTGGTTTTTATTCCCCCCGTCTGCTGGGTGGTTGCAGCAGGTTTTGGTCAATTCACATGACCCTGGGACACTGTGACTGTCATAAATATGAATCAGTTGCCAAGCATCTGAATATAAATCACAAGACCCTGGAGATGCTGCAACATTCCATATGATCGGCACTTCTTCTGGGCTCAGCAGAAGCACCAGGATCAGCACTGAGCTCCAGCTGGAGCCTGGCGCTGATCCTGGCGATTCCATTGAGCCCTGACAGCCCCGAAGAAGCGCTGATCCTGGCGCTTCCGCTGAGCCCTGACAGCCCTGCAGCTCTAGCCATCTCTCGCTCAGGCTTGTGCGGTGCTGCCACCAGTTCAGCTCACTCCCCTCCCCCGCTACCACTTTTCTAGGATGGTCATGTACCACCTGCCAGGTGCCAATGTACCACAGGTGGTACCCATACCACTGGTTGAAAAGCCTTGTCCTAGAGTTCCAATTCATTGATCAACTGGGGCAGTTAATGCAATGGTTTTGCAATGGCAAAAATCAATGTTAATTAACCTCAAATTTGAGAGATGGTCTTATACGATGAGCTGGTCTTTGACGCTAACAAAATTGCAACTTGGAGAGTAAAAATTTTGGTTACAGTATTGACCTAGATAATTGGCAATCATTATGGGACAGAAACAGGAGGTTAACACTAGCCACCTCCTACAAAGAAAATTTATACAAGATGTTTTATAGATGGCACCTTCCCCCTACAAGGCTAGCAAAAATAGATTAAAAAAAACCTCACCAACATGCTGAAAATGTAGAAGGCTTCCAGGGACTTACTATCACATGTGGGAATGTTCAAAGGCGCAATTTTTTGGGAATCGGATAAAAAATTGGCTGGAAGAAATACTATTACAAAAAATTGATTTAAAACCAGAAATCTTCTTATTAGGGATTATTAATGATAAACTCAGCAAAGCATCTTTTTACTTACTATTGCATATTTTAACCGCAGCAAGATTGGCATACGCCCAAAAATGGAAAGGAAAGGAAACCCCCACTGAGGAAGAAATAATAAATAAAATTTTATCCTGCGCCGAAATGGACAGGTTAACTCTAGAGATTAAAAATAAAACTGAAACAGAGTATTATGAAATTTGGAAAAATTTGTATGATTGGTTAGAGATAAGGAGGATCGCTGAGATGATTATCGATTGACTAGTTGATATCATAAGGACTTCTTATTAGTACCTATATTAGGACACAACTGAAAGATATGTAAATACAATGTTGACGATTGAAAGATGGTTTATCAAAAAATTTACAGATTTTATACGCACAGTTTGTTATATTCTGTCCTGTTATAGAATGTATTTTAAGTTTCTGTTTTTCTTTCTGTAACATAAGGTAATACTAATAACACTGTTGAAGCCAGGGAAGTTGAATCATGTCCATTTTTGTTTTTAAAATGTACATTTAATAAAATTTGTAAAAAAAAATAAATTGCAACTTGGGTACCCAGTGGAGTTATTCAATTAATTCTTCACCATGCAACAAATGCCATATATCTGGTTCATGGGCACAAGTATAAAATTGAGCAATTTTCCCACTTGGAAATTATTTTTGCAAAGGAGGTTACCTTTTTGTATGAAAAGTGGGATAATTTATTTAGTGACAACGTATAGCTGAATGGATGGATTGTCTTGATTTAAGAACACAAGATTAATCTGAGCTAGCACGAAAGCTTTATCTGGGAGGGATCTTCAAATTATCTGTTTGATGTTGCAGTTTCTGAATGAGGACTTTTCTTAAACAAAGAAGTTTATTTAATTGGCTTACGCCACTACGGTAATTTTTTCCCCCTCTACTCTATGCTCAAATCAGTTCATTCAGCTTCATTCCATGGTGTTTGTTACTTCTGAAATGTTGATTTGGCAGC